CCTTGGAGACAGGGCCAGGCCCCTAAGGTGGGAGCCCGGGGATGGTGGCCCTGCATGGCCGCTCCGGGGCCCTCATGGGCAGACCCTGGGCATGGTCCCTCCCTGGGACCTCCAACAGCTGCCCCACGGACCCCCCTCTTCCTCCTCCCTCTGCCCTCTGAGAATCAGCTGCAGGAAACACTCCACGTGCAGACCTGGAACTGCAGGAGGCCCCGCACTCACCTGGCCCACAGGTCGGCCCCACCGGCGTCCAGCCCTCCCTGGGTCAATCCCTCAGCCCAGGGCCAGGAGCAGTGGACAGTGAGGGACAGGAGGGCGAGGCCATGGCCTGCCAGGACACCTGGAACAGAGACAGCCCTGAGGACCTGGCGGGAGGACCCCTCTGTGGTGTGGTGTGTGTGTCTGATGGTTTTTTTTTTTGAGTCTCGCTTTGTTGCCGAGTGAATGCCATGGCGTCAGCCTGGCTCACAGCAACCTCAAACTCCTGGGCTCAAGCAATCCTCCTGTCTCAGCCTCCCGAGTAGCTGGGACTACAGGCATGCGCCACCATGCCCGGCTAATTTTTTCTATATAAATTAGTTGGCCAATTAATTTCTTTCTATTTATAGTAGAGATGGGGTCTCGCTCTTGCTCAGAGCGGTTTGGTTTGAACTCTTGACCTTGAGCAATCCGCCCTCCTCAGTCTCCCAGAGTGCTAGGATTACAGGTGTGAGCTACCATGCCCAGCCTTGTCTGATGGTTTTGTGCACACACGTGAGGCTGTGTGTGTGCACAGTGACATGCACACACATGTGACAGAACACACAGGTATATGATGGTGTGCACACACACGTGGGTCTGGTGGTGTGTACACACACCCACCAGTGTGTGCACGTGTGTCTGCCGTGTCTGTGCACGCCTGTGAGGGCGTGTGGTATGCAAACTCCCTCTCCCTCCACCCAGACCCCCCGTGGCTCTGAGTGCTCACAGGCTGAGCCCTGAGGCCTCTGAAGCAGAGGGCTAGGGGTGGGGGGGCTGCCTGCCAGGGCCCGGTTGCTCAGCCTCTGCAGTGGGGTCACAGCCAGGCCTGTCAGCAACATCCGGGGGCCTGTCCCCATTCCTGCCTTAGAAATCCAGCCCAGGAGGTGGGGGTTCAGGTCCAGGGGAGCCCCCTTATCTTGTTGGCCCTGGGCAGACAATTTAGGAAAATCTCTTCTCCAGCATCCAGAGGACAGAGGTTGGCTGTGGCCCACGGCTGCCAGGCGGCTGGGCCGGCACCCCCTTTCTGGGGAGGACAAGTCACTGAGCAGTGGGTGTCCCCGGGCCTCTCCCCGCCCTGCCTCAGAGCCCCTGCAGGGCTCCGCGCACCTCACCCCTGCCTTTCCCCTCTGGCCACACCTTTGCCCTGTCCCCACCTGTGCCAGCCAGGACCCTGGGTGTGCGAGGGCTGGGCTCCTCGTGCCCTGCTGGCCCCCGGCTGCCCTGCGTGTGGCTCTGGAGGGCGGCCGGCCGGGGTCCCAAGCACCCCCCACGTCTGCAGTGACCGGCGTGGATGGTCTGCCCATCCGCTCTCCCTGCCCCGGGGGGCCCCATCCAGGTGGAGGTGTCATCTCACCCACTCGGGGGCCCATGTCTGCGGCGGAGTGCGCCGGTCGTCCTGGCTGAGTCGTCTAGGGCAGGAAGGTGCCGGGGCCACGGCAACGGGTCCAGGACGAGGGGGCGGGTCGGGCTACAGCTGCGGCATCTCCCCCACCTCTGGGGAGGGACACAAGCCCACAAACAGCACTTTGGGACAAAGGAGCCGGGCAGGGAGGGGCCGGGCTTTCTTATCTCGGGTCAGGACTCACGGGACGCAGGCTGCCGCGTCTCCAGTGAACACATCGCTGGATAAACAGCCAGTCCCCTGGGGCCGCCTGGGGGGAGAGGCTGGGTGGGCTCCTCAGCTGCGGGGGGGCAGCCCCTGCCTCGTCACCCACACCCAGGTAGTGGGGCAGCTCTGTCACCGAGACCTGGCCCCTGGTGACGGCCCCGGGCAGCCTCGGTGGCACTGAGGACCAAGGCTGTGGGGCCCCAGGATTCGGGTCTGGGGGAGACGGCCCGGCCAAGGCGGTGGCACACGGCAGTCCTGCCTGTGCACACCTGATGGCTTTCGGTGCTCTGGGCCTCCGACTCCCTGTGACCCAGGGGAGGATGGGGAGGCTGCCCAGGGGCCTGGAATCAAAGCCCAGAGCCCAAGGGCTGGTGGGTGGTGGCCCCCACCCCTGCCCCCTCACCTGAGCAGGACACCGTGTGTGGAAGGGGCAGGTGCCACCCAGGCTGGGGTGGCTGCTCCTGGCCGCGCTGCAGCAGTCGGTCCGGGGAGGTGTAGACCAGGCGCTCCCAGGCCCCGATAGATCGTGTCTGCCGGCGCTGCTGAGCCCCAAGGTGCAGGGGTGGGGCCGGGCGGGGCACCAGGGTCCCTGCTCAGCATGCTCAGCCCCACATGCAGCATGAGACACCCTCTAGCCTCCTGTAGGGGAGGGGCCTGGCCTGTGCCAGTGACACCGGTGTCAGCCCCTGGGGGCCCCGGGCACAGCGGGCACCTGCTCCCTGGCCCCAGGGAGCGGAGGCTGAGCTCACAGCTGGCGGCTGCCCAGCACACACCCCTCCTCACGGGGCCCAGCCCTGTGGTGTCTGCACCCCTCGGGTGAGTGTGCGAGTGTATGTGTGCATCTCAGTCCACGTGGCACGTGGTCTGTGCACCCGGGAGCATGGACACATATGTTCTGTGTCTGTCTGCGTGTTCCCACACAGGGACGCTGGGCGCACAGGGCCCCCACGTGGGGGTGGGCTCAGTGGGCCCACGGCCATTCTGTGTGTGCTGGGCACAGAGCTGGCCGGCATGTGCACACGTGTGTGCACCCGGGGGCAGAGAGGGCGTGTATCGGCACACGCCAGGGACAGCCTTGGTGGTGGAGAACGGAGCCACACGCAGCCCTGTCCCCGCCCAGCGCCCTGCTCGCCCGGCGGCTGCAGCCACGTCCTTGTGATGCCGTCTGCTTCGAGGGGCCCAGGAAGGGGCAGCCGGCAGGTGGCAGGACCAGCAGAAGCTGCCGCCGCAGGGAGGGGTGCTGCGGGACAGGGCTAGGGCGGCCTGGCTTGCCCAGAGTCCCGACCAGCTCAGGATGGGCCTCGAAGGGTCCCTTGGCCACCGGCTGGGCCAGCTCAGGGGACACAGTGGCTCTGACAGCCGCACCCAGCTGTGGTGAGGGACAGCGAGGCCAGGCAGCCCCAGAGTCTGGAGGGGCAGGGTCCAGGGGGGGCAGGTTGGGAGAGGGTCCCTGCCAGAGAGGGCCACCCCCTGGCCCTAGCACTGCCCCCCGAGGCCTGCTGACTCCACTCCAGGCCCTGGGTGCTTGAGGGGAGCAGGCTTGGCCCCAGCCTTACGGGGGCTTGTGGGGAGGTTGCCACGTGGAGGGGTCTCCACCCACCCCAGGGCCCAGCCCGGCCGGACGGGTGGCCACACCTCGTCCCAGACTCTCCCACGGACTGTCTTCCCGGGTCCCCCAGGGTCCTCGGTTTGGCCGTGATCCTCACCGACAGGAGAGGACACAGGCTGGAGAGACTGAGTGAGTCCCCTGAGGCCACGCAGCAGGAGTGCCCAGTGCCTATGTTCCCAGTGGGGCCAGCGTTGCTGCCCCATACTTGCCCGCCTGGGGCATCTGCCCGGCTGCTTGTCTGAGGAAGGCCCCTCCTGGCCCATGTCCAGGGGACCTTGCCTGGTCATGCCCACAGCCGGGGAGCCTTGCCCACCCACAGCTAGGAGTGGGGGCAGGGGGCTGGGTGGGGCCCCTGTGTCTGGAGGCCTTAGCCCAGTGGCTGGTGGACCCAACCTGGGAGGGGGGGAGGGCTGGTCTGACAGGTGGTGGTAAGAGGGGCTCTTTGGGTCCTAGCAGACCACCAGGGAGTATAGGGGTCTTCTGGGGGAAGAACTGGATGGGGGGACAGAGGTGGCCGCCTGCCTCCCGCCTGCTGCCTGCCCATCCACATCCCGCCACCGTGTTCCTTGCTCTGCAGGCTCAGCCTCTGGCCCTGTGCCGGCCCAGCCTCTCCCCGAGGCCCCACCCTGCAGACTGGGGCTGCACCCCATGGCTGATGTCCTGGTCCCGCCCCGGGCCACCTGGCCCTTGGTGGCGAGCTGGTGCCGGGCAGCAGACCAGTGACATGGAGGAGACTCCTTGTGCTCTTGCCCTGCCGGGGCCGTGTGGCTTGGAGGGCAGCTGGTCCTGCAGGTTGGGGAGGGGGTAGCTGGCCACCCTCGGCCATGGCCCCTGGAGCTGCCTGGAGCTTGGAGGTCCGGTGACGGTGGTGGTGGTGCTGCCCAGGCACCTGGCAAAAATCGGTTCCCTCTTCCCTGGCGTGAAAAGCAGCCTCATGGGTTCAGCCCTCTGCCCTGAGGGTGCCACTGGGCCGGAGTGAGCTTCCTGGGGGTGGGGTAGGGGGCCTGGCCACCCTGCCAGATGTTTTGGGATAGCTCTGTCTGAGGTCCCAGTGGGCAGGGATCCCCGGGGGCTCACCAGGAAGGAAGGGGTGTCCGGTGGTCCCCCTGAGCCCCCAGGCCCTGGCAGAAGCACTACTGGGAAGCAACTGAGCTCATCTCTCAGAGTCCAGGGTGGTGGGGACTCAGGACCTGCCGTGACAGCAGGCTGGGCAGGACAGGTGCCTGACAGGCACAACGAGGTGGCGATGTCCCCTGAGAGGGGTTTGCGGGTTTGAGGACTTGGAGGGGCTGGGTGTGCCGGGAAGGCTGAGACCGGCGGGGTGCTCCAGTGCTCGTGGCTGGGAGGGCTGGGGGTCCTCTGGGGCGAGTGGACCCAGCCTCTGTCCTGAAGCCGGGGTCGCAAGGCACTCAGTGCCTGGGAGCCGGGGCAGGTCAGCCGCTAGGACCACAAGGTCCCAGGTACAGGCACAGGGACTGCGGAGGGTCTGGGTGTCCACACCTGTCCTCCAAAGTCCCCCTTTAGACACATTCTCAGTCACTCTCATGGTCAGTCACTGAGTGTTTATTGCCAGTCCCCGGAGCCCAGTGCAGTTGGGTGGAGGAAGTGGGGCCCGGCCAGCCCACAGCTCCCAGGCTGGGTCCCTGAAGGCAGACGCCAGCGACTGGTGGCTGTGGGAGCCGGGCAGGCGGTGACATGGCAGGTGCTGCGGTGGGGGAGCCTGCGAGACCCCGAAGCAGAAGCGGCACCCGCAGCGGGTCTGGAGGGGCGGCGTGCACGGTGGGGCCTCAGCTGCTTGCGACGGACGCTGTGCGCCGGCCCCAAGCTCAGGATCCGGGTGCAGGTGGGCAAGGCTGAGGGTGAGTCCAGCAAAAGCAAAGGCACGAGGCAGACCTGGGCGCGGCATGCAGACCCCAGCCCGGCAGGGGCGGGGCGGGGTCTGCAGGAGAGGCAGGGCGGGAGGGTGGGAGCAGAGCCTTCGGAACAGGGGGGCTGGGGCTGTCTGGGGCTGAGGCCTTTGCCAGCCCCTCTTGGGGAGGAGCACACCTGGGGGCAAAGGCCAGCCCAGACGCTAGTTCTGCTCTTCCGGTAGGTGACTCTAGGCAGGTGTGTAAAACGTAATCCCTTGGGTGAAGCTTCAGAGCTGGAAGCTGCTCCAGGAAGGAGGAAGGGCCTTGGTTTCCCCCTGGGGATGCTGGGAGGAGGCCCCACGACAGGGTGTCAGTCTCACAGCCCGAGGGCTCCAACCTCGCTGGAGATCGTGGCTGCCTGACGCCCCCTGCCGGCCCTTCCCTGCAGGCGGCCCCAGTTTTCTGTACCTTGGCCAGAAGACGCCACCTGCTGGGGATGGGCCCAGGGCTCTGCCGCACAGCCCCCACCCGTAGGGGTCCCAGCCCGTCACCCCCTCCTGCAGCCCAGCAGGGCTCAGTTGTCCGGTTCCAGCCTCCACTCTGACAGCCACTGCAGGCAAGAGGCTCGCTGTGCCTCGGTCTCGGGGGACTTGGTGCAGGGCGGTGGGGGCCGGCCCGGCCCAGGCAGGATCGTGGAGGGGCCCCCGTCCATGGGGTCAGGGTCAGGGGCAGCCCGCAAGGCCTGGACAAGCTGGTCCAGCGGCTGCACCAGGACGTGGGGGCTCCAGGAGGCGTCGAGGGAGGGCAGGAAGGGGTCCGGCGTGCAGGCCTCCACACACTCGGCGCGCGTGGGGATGCGCAGGTAGAAAGAGTGCAGCATCATGCGGAAAGGCTGGTCCTCCCGGCCCGCGGCCTGCCCGTAGGTCAGGTCGCCCACCACGGGGTGGCCGAGGGCACTGCAGTGAACCCGCAGCTGGTGTGTCCGGCCTGCGGGGCGGGGGGCGCGTCAGGCTGGGGGGGCGCTCCCCACCCACAACCCCCACCCGCCTCGCAGCGCAGCCAGCAGCCTCTCCCACGCAACCCCTGGGCAGGACCCTCCCGTCCTCCGCCACAGGCGAGGCCGTCAGCACTCAGGATGGGGACTGTCGAGAGCAGGGCCAGGGCTGCACCTGGTCTGGCTGCAGAACCCAGGCCAGTGAGACCCCCACGCCAGGAGAGAGGCTGTGGGTCGTGAGCTGTTCTCTGCTGCACATGGGCACTACTACACTCTGTGCCTCTGTTTTCTCTCCTCCGTTACTGGGCGCTGCCCGCCCCTGCACACACCTGTCAGAGGCTTCAGCAGCACTTTGGAGACAGGGTCGCCTGCGTACAGCCCATGTTCCAGGACCACCAGCTCCGTGAGGCTCGGCTTCGGGTTCTCACAACCTGGGGAGCAAAGAGGTGAATGATGGTTAGTGGAGCCAGTGTGGGCCCCAGCCAATGCCAACCCAGGAGGCCTGCCAGAGTCGGCCCTGTCCACACGGGGCCCTGCTGGGCCTCAGGTGCCCTGGGCCCCCGCCTGCCGTACCCTGCGTGCCCTCGATGCACATGGTGTGAGCCCGGCCCTCCGTGCTGTTCCTGCCAATGGCATAGCTGATGGTCACCTGGCTGTCCTGGACGTGCCCCCGCACCTGCAAGGCAGGGGATCACACCCTGCTCACGGCGCCAGCCTACCACTGCCAGGGAGCCCACCTGACATCCAGGTGGCCACCTGGCACAGTGGGTAGCTCAGCACCAAGCAGCCCGCCCCAGCAGGCTGGGAGTTGCGTGTTCCTTCCGGCCGCCCCAGACTCACTAGGGCCAGGTAAGCCTTGGTCACTCGCCGTTCCTTGAAGCACCTGTATGCGCTGCCTGCAGCTGCCTTGTTCAGGGCCACACACAGAGCCCCGCTGGTGGAGAAGTCCAGCTGGTGGCAGAACCTGTGGCGGGGCAGAGCGTCAGCGGTGGCTGGGGCGGGAGGTGGTGGCCTTCGCGGTGGCGTCCAGCATCTGAGCCGCCGCCTTGGACGGGCACTGGCGAGAGACTGCGTCTTCCCTGCCCCGTGTACCTGAACCCATAGCAGGTGTCCGGGTCGGCCAGCTCGGGGAAGCGGTGCCGCAGCTGCTTCTGGAGGGTCAGGGTCTCCTGCCACGTCTTGCTGTCGATTCGCACGTCCCAGTGCTTGTTCACCACCAGGAAGTCGCCGCTCCGGTATACGATGGACAGGTTCTCCACACTGCCTGGCTCCATGGCGGCCCTGCCACCCAGGGTGGGAGTGTGCGTGAGGGCGTGGCAGCACCCAGCCCAACAGCACAGCCTTCACCACCCCAGGGCTCTGGCTGAAGCCACCAGGCCAGCCTGCGGACCTCCTGTGCCGGGCAGCCCTGGCCCTCCATCCCTGAGGCCAGCCCGGGCACCAGTGGGGGTCAGCTTAGCTCTGGGTGACCATGAGGGGCCTTCCCTGACGGGGACCTAGCGGCGGACCAGCCTTGTCCTCCGGCCGGCCGCAGACCCTCCCAGCCAGTGCGGACGGTGAGGAGGGCCTTCTCCGGAGTGGACAGTGGCAGTGGCAAGAACGGGGCTGCCGCGTCCCCGGGGTCCCGCCTGCCTGGAGCGCCGGTGCCGGTGCCAGTGCCGGTGCAGGTGCCGGCTGGGCCCCCCGCCCGCCCGCAGGCCCCACGCGGCGCCGCTCCCGGTCCCGCCCGCGCCTCTCTGAGTCCTGCGGGGCGACGGGCGTGACGCTTGGGCCCCAGGCCCGGGCAGACCCGATCTACGCCCTCCCCGCGGCCCTGCCCGCTCGGAGACCGACCTGCCGCCGCGCCGCGCCGCCGGGACCCCCACGCTGCCCCCAGCCCCGGCCTCAGCCCCCGCGTTCCCGCCGAGACCCAGCGACCCGGCGACAGCCGATAGGGACACGCAGCGCCGCTCCGGCCCCGGCCCGGCCTGCGCGCGCAGCCCCGCCTCCGCCCCGCCCACGGCCCGCCCCCGCCGCGGACGGGCGGCTATGCCGGCCAATGGCAAGTGCCACGAGGCTCGTTGCTCTGACTACCAGCAGAGACTCGGCCCCGCCCACCTCGCGCAGCCCCGCCCTCGTCCCGTTGACCAATGGCGGGCGCCGCTGCGCACGCCGGCCGCTGATTGGCGGCGCCGAAGCGCGCGGGGCGGGGCGGCGGCGGCGCGGGAGTCTGGAGCGGGCCGGCGCGGCCGCCATGGAGGAGGACTATGAGTGGGAGCTGCGCGGCGTCGAGGATGACTTCGGCCGCCAGTTCGCCGCCGAGCTCGAGGTGCTGGCCGAGCTGGAAGGTGGGCGCGGGCCCGGGGCGCAACGTGGCCCGGCCGCGGTCCTGCCCGCCGCCCTGGCCGCGGGGCCTCTCTGCGGGCCGCCCTGGGTCCAGTCGCCCTTCCTCCCTGGGTCCCTTCCTCTCGGGGTCCCTTTCTCTCGGGGTCCCTTCTTCTCGGGGTCCCTTCCTCTCGGGGTCCCTTCCTCCCTGGGTCCCTTTCTCTCGGGGTCCCTTCCTTCCTGGGTCCCTTTCTCTCGGGGTCCCTTCCTTCCTGGGTCCCTTTCTCTCGGGGTCCCTTCCTTCCTGGGTCCCTTCCTCTCGGGGTCCCTTCCTTCCTGGGTCCCTTCCTTCCTGGGTCCCTTCCTCTCGGGGTCCCTTCCTCTCGGGCTCCCTTCCTCCCTGGGTCCCTTCCTTCCTGGGTCCCTTTCTCTCGGGGTCCCTTCCTTCCTGGGTCCCTTTCTCTCGGGGTCCCTTTCTCTCGGGGTCCCTTCCTCCCTGGGTCCCTTCCTCTCGGGGTCCCTTCTTCTTGGGGTCCCTTCTTCTCAGGGTCCCTTCCTCTCGGGGTCCCTTCTGCCCGCGGAGTCCCGTCCGCGCCCGGGGCTCGGTCTCTTCTCCTGCACGGTGGGACCACGACCCCACCCTGGGCAGTCAGAGAGGGCTGCCCGGAGGAGGTGAGGCACCAGGAACCGGGCGACCAGGAGGACTATCCGGAGGAGGTTGAGCCGGAGACCGGGAGCTGCGGTGCCACCGTGAGCCGGACCTGGCTGTCCTGGGCAGCTGCTGTGAATGTTCTCTCCCTGCAGGGACGCCGACTCTGTCACCCTCCCGAGCCCCCCAGCCCACAGTGGGCCGGCCGCAGCTCACGTTCGAGGAGGCCATTGCCGGAGGGGACGCCACCACCCACCCCTCGCCCGCTGGATCTCCGGGGAAGAGCGAAGGCCGCGCCAGCAAGAGGCCAGTGGATGCCGACTTCCAGAGGGATGGGCTCCTGCCCCCCAGTATGTCCCCAGGATTGCTGGGGCGCTTGGGGTGGTGCCAGGCCGGGGAAGGGCTTCCTGTTCCCTCCACGTGTCTCTTGCAGCCCCGAAAGTCAAACGGCCCAGGCTGGAGGTAGTCAAGAGGCTGAACTTTACGCCAGAGGAGATGGAGGAGCCGCCACTGCCTGACTCCCCGCCAAGGGACATCACCCCCCCACCAAGTCCTGAGATCCCCACTGGGCTCTGGGGTGACGGGTGTGTGGCTTGGGGCACGGGTGTCCCACCCCATGTGTCCAAGGGGGACTTGGAAGAATCCTGTTCTCTGAATGAGGCCTGGGGTGGGGACCTGTGGGAGGACACCACAGCTGGGGGCAGATCCAGGCACCCCTGTCCCAGGGCGACAGGGACTGAGCCCCGGTCCCTGCCCAGGCCCTCCGACGCTGGTGCTGACGGGGCTCTCACACCGGCCTCACCAGCCGCCCGAAACCCTGTCCGGCGGCGGCCCCCTGTTCTGGAGGACTACGTCAACGTGACGTCCACGCGTGGCGACCGGGCCTTCCTGGTGCTGCGCGGGGATCCCACGGGCACTGGGGTGCAGGTGGGTGGTGCGTGGGGATCCCACGGGCACTGGGGTGCAGGTGGGTGGTGCGTGGGGATCCCACGGGCACTGGGGTGCAGGTGGGCAGGTGCTGCGTGGCCACTGGCAGGGCTGGCCTTGGCCTTCTTATGGGGGTGGGCCAGCGCCACTGAGAAAGCGTCCTGGTCCCCACACCTCGGGGTCTGGTTTGCTGATATCAGACCACGTCCACGCGTTGGGGGCTGGGGAGCTAGAAGCTGCTTCAGGGACGTGGCCTTAGTGAACACAGCCTCTCTACCCCACACCGCTGTGCAGGCTGCTTGGGTGCCCCCATATGTGCCCTAAGGGGGGTCCCTCCACCCCCACTTTGGCATTGCCCCTCTGGGTGGCTTCCGTTCCTGGGGCCCCTGATTACACAGGTGTCTTCCACCTCCCTTGGCTGGCTTTCGGGAGGGAATCCAACCTGGGCCCCTGAGCACTACTGGGGGCTGTGGGTAACCCCATGGTGTAGGCGGGGCCCAGAGGTGACTGTCACCCTGCCTTCCCCACAGAGCCCCCTCCTCGACATCCGGTGGCGAGGCCGCAGCCAGCTGGACCTGCTGGGTGTGTCCTTTGCATCCCTGAAGGAGCAGGTCGACAGCGAGGTGGGGTTCTGGGGCTCTGTGGGAGGGCAGTGTGGGGGTGACTGGCAGCCCGAGGCTGCCTGACTCCCGGTCTTGTTTGCACAGCGACGGCAGCAGCGGCTCAAGGAGGCCCAGTGGCTCTCAGACACCCTGCACAGGTGACTTGGTGGGCCCTCCCGCCCCAGAACCCTTCCTGGTTCTTGGACCAGCCCCTGGCTTGTGTCCCATGGGGTTGTGGGGTCAGTGTGGTCCCTGCCAGGGGTCCGGAGGTTTAGGACATAATGCTCTCCAGCCTCGGAACGGAGGAGGAGGAGGCCCAGCCGTCGGGGGCCCCAGAGGAGGAGCCAGTGGACGGCCAAGACGCCTCCCAGCAGTGCCTCTGGGTGGACGAGTTTGCGCCCCGGCACTACACGGAGCTGCTCAGTGACGACGTAAGGTTTTGTTCACGCTCAGGTGTGATTGACTTTCCATTGCCAGGAGAGAAGAACCGGGGCCCCAGCTGGTCCCAGCACTGCCGGCCCAGAGGGCTGGCTGTGGGTGTGGATGAGGGCTCTGGCCTGCCCCACTGAGTTGAGGGAGCTGTTGGTGACCGCACAGCCTGCAGGGCAGGGTCGAGGCGGGGACGCTGTGCCCAGCAAGGCCACGCCCTGCAAAGCAGCTTTGCTCTCTCCCGGCCCCGGGCCTGCTGCCGGTCACCTGTGCCCTGCCGGGAGCTGGGCTGGGCGTCCGGGGCATCCCCCGCCCTAAGTCTCTGGCCCTTCCCTGTCCCCACTGTGGCGCTCACCAGCAGGGTGTCTGAGGGCTGGCCATGTACCTTGAGGCCCAGCATCCCCGTCTGTGTCTGTGTCTCGGGGCCCGAGGCAGCAGGCTCACTTGAGGGCAGGCGCAGGCCCTTGGTGCCACGCTGGGCCGGGGTTCCCTCAGGCTGCGCCTCCCTCCCCGCAGTTCACCAACCGCTGCCTCCTCAAGTGGCTGAAGCTGTGGGACCCAGTGGTGTTTGGCCACGAGAGGCCAGCCCGGAAGCCCAGGCCCAGCGCCGAGCCGGCCAGGGCCGGCAAGGAGGCCGCAGCCTCGGCCAAGTGGAAGAGCCACGAGCAGCTGGTGGAGGAGATGCTAGAGGCCGAGCTGGACCCGAGCCAGCGGCCCCGGCAGAAGGTGAGGCCCCCACCCCCGGCCGTGCTGCAGGTGCTGCAGAGCCTGAGGCTTTGCTCTCTGCGGCTGGTGCCATCGCAGCCTCTGGGGCCCAGGAGGCACATTTACCTTCTCTGGAGGGTCTTGGCGTGAAGCACTGCTGACACGCGTCAGAACTTAGATCTGTCCTAGTGATTGAGGTGACGCCGACACCCTGCAGTGTCTCCGTGTCTCGCCAGGGTGACCCAGGGGCGGCGGGTGGTTTCTAGGGGTCAGTCACACGGGTTCCAGCTGTGCTGTCCCGTCCCCGTGTACTGGCTTCCCGCAGGGCTCTGTGTTCAGGAGTGCTGTCTCTGCACGTTTGCGTGGGTTTCGTTCCTGTGGACAGCCAGGGCTGCGGGGAGGACCCCGGGCAGTGCCCGGCGCGGGGCAGGATTTTTAGCCCTGGCTGCTGGAGGCCCGTGTGTTGCAGCTCCTCTCCCTCTACCTGGCCGCAGGTGGCGTTGCTGTGCGGACCCCCGGGGCTGGGCAAGACCACCCTGGCTCACGTGATTGCGCGGCACGCGGGCTACTCCGTGGTGGAGATGAACGCGAGGCGAGTGGGGGGGGGCGTCTCTGTCCGGACACGTGCGCCTGGGTTTGGGCTGCAGCCCCGAAACCTGAGCGAGGCGGTTCCTGTCTCGAGGGTGGGGCCCACCGGGAGGAGCACGTCCTTGCGCAGGGCTCGCTGTGCGTGGCAGCGTGTGGCACGGGGGACTCCGGCGGGGGGCCGTCCCGCCAGGGCGGCTGGCTGCTGCCCACGCTGAGGGCACGGCGGCCCTGACGCCCCTGCCTGACCTCGCCGCTCCAGTGACGACCGCAGCCCTGAGGCCTTCCGCACGCGCATCGAGGCGGCCACGCAGATGGAGTCAGTGCTGGGTGCTGGTGGGAGGCCCAACTGCCTGGTCATCGACGAGATTGACGGGGCCCCCACGGTGGGCCTCCCTGGTGGCCCAGGCGGGCAGGGGGGCGGGCGGCCAGGCATTGGCTCTGGCTCACTGTGCCCTCTGTGCCTCCCCAGGCTGCCATCAATGTCCTCCTGGGTGTCCTGAACCGCAGGGGCCCACAGGAGGCAGAGCCGAGGGGCCCTGCCGCGCCCTCGGGTGGAGGCCGCCGGGGCCGCGCGGAGGCGGGGCTTCTGACCAGGCCCATCATCTGCATCTGCAACGACCAGTGAGTGGGCCGGTGGGGGGCGCCCTGTGCCCTGGGCGGTGCCCGCCCTGCAGGTGCCCCCGGTGAGGGCACTGCCGTCCCCTCCCTCAGGTTTGCGCCGTCCCTGCGGCAGCTGAAGCAGCAGGCCTTCCTGCTCCACTTCCCGCCGACCCTGCCCTCCCGGCTGGTGCAGCGGCTGCAGGAGGTCAGTGGGGCGGGGCCTGTGCCAGCCAGCCCACGGTGGGGACGCTGAGGCAGGGTGCGGCCCCTGCTCCCCCAGGGTCCCCAGCGGGCTCCGGCCATGGTGGCAATGGCGGTTGGACTGGCCCGGTCCCCTGTGCAGGGTGGCCCCGAGCAGGGCTGGGGCCAGTCCACAGACACTCACGGTCTTGGGACCTGCGGGACGAGGGCTGCTCTTCACCCTACTCTGGGGCAAAGGGTTGTGGCCGAGGGGGCTCTGAGTGGAGCCATCCTGGCGGGCGCCCCTCAGAGCAGCAGCGGGAGGGCTCAGCACCGGCTCGCCCCTGCAGATCTCCCTGCGGCAGGGTGTGCGCGCTGACCCGGGCGCGCTGGCGGCCCTCTGCGAGAAAACGGACAACGACATTCGTGCCTGCATCAACACGCTGCAGGTGGCTGAGCAGCGGGTGCGGGAGGTGGGAGGGGGCCTGGGGGGGCCTGCCTCTCACCCCTGCCCGTGTCCAGTTCCTGCACAGGCGGGGCCGGCGGGAGCTGAGCGTGCGGGACGTGCAGGCCACGCGTGTGGGCCTCAAGGACCAGCGCAAGGGGCTCTTCTCCGTGTGGCAGGAGGTCTTCCAGCTGCCTCGGGACCAGAGGTGGGCAGCGGGCTGGCCGGCACCACCTGCATGGAGAGCCGGGGGCCGCCCCACCCGGCTTTCAAGGCTGTGCCTCCGTCTCCCCCGGCCCTCGAGGCTCAGGGCCTGCGCAGGGGCCACCAGGGCACCATTACAGGAAGGATGCCCCGGCGTTGCGAGGCCCCGGGGTGCAGCTCTGGCCTGGCCCAGGCAGCACTGGGAGGCCTTGGGGGCAGGGAGCAGTGGGCATCTGGGGGGTGCCCGGAGCTGCTCGGCCTGGGAGGTGCTGTTCCCAGCCTGGTCCCCCAGGGCGACCTTCCCCAAGGGTCAGTCTAGGGCTGGGGGTTCTGCTGGGGCCTCCTGGGGCGCTCCAGAGTGTTGGTAGTGCACAGACACCTGGGGTGCTGCCAGGAAGTGGAGGGGCGGTGGGGCTGCCTGTGCCCTTACAAGGCCCCCCCGGCCCCTGCACCCCTCCACAGACGCCGAGTGGGCCAGGACCTGGCCCTGCCCGCCCACATGCTTCTGCTCGGCCCCGGGGACGCGGGCTCCCTGACCTCGGCCTCGCAGAGGTTCTACCACGTCCTGCACGTCGCCACCTCCGCCGGCGAGCACGAGAAGGTGGTCCAGGTACCTGCCCTGCCTCCCGCCAGCACTGCCTGGTGCCCTGTGCCCCACGGGAGCGGGCAGTGAACAGGAGACGCTGAGGGGGCTGAGTGGGAGGGGTGGGAGTGGGGGTGGTGGGGACAGGGCGCCAGGGAGGCCAGAGGGCACAGGGGGCCTGGATGGGTGGGGAGGGGAGAGGGGGTGTCTGACCCGGGGTCGGTGGGTGCAGGTGGAGCCTCTACCACCCTCTGGCCGGGGAGGGGCTGGGTTCTGGCTGGAGCATACGGGTGGGGTGGGCTTTTGGCCTGAGCAGGGGCAGAGGTCCCCAGCACCCCCGCCTCCCCCCGGGGAAGCCCGGCCTAAGCCGCCTCTTGACTCTAAGCCGCTTTGGATTAGCGGCTGGGGATCCCGGCCAATCCGGAAATCCACAGGGTGGAGGTGCCTGTGGGGCAGGAGCCCACGTGGGGGGAGTGAGGCTCCTCGCCCCGTTCTTGTGGAGGGGGCTGGGCCCCTCTGGCTCCTGGAGGCCGCGGGGCGGTTTTCCCCTTGTCTCGGGGTGTTCGTCCCGCTGGGGGGCGGCTCGGGGAGCACCCTCCCGGCCCCCCACGGCCCGTGGCGCTCGCTCGCTGGTGTTTGCCGCTGCCCCCAGAGCTGGGCTTGGCGGCCACGGGACTGAGGCCTGCCGCGCCCGGCAGGGCCTGTTCGACAACTTCCTGCGCCTGCGCCTGCGGGACTCCAGCCTGGGCGCCGTGTGCTCCGCCCTCGACTGGCTGGCCTTCGACGACCTGCTGGCGCAGGCGGCCCACCACGGCCAGAGCTTCCAGCTGCTGCGCTACCTGCCCTTCCTGCCCGTGGCCTTCCACGTGCTCTTCGCCCGCAGCCACGTGCCGAGGATCAGTTTCCCCAGCAGCCAGCAGGAGGTGCCCACCCCAACCCACCCTCTTCCCAGCCAGAGTCTGGCCCTGGGGTCCTGGCCCCGTGGTCCCAGCGACCCTGCCTGGTTCCCCCCCGCCCCAGGCCCAGAACCGGATCAGCCAGACGAGGAACCTGATCCAGACGCTGGTGTCGGGCATGGCGCCGGCCACGCGCAGCCGGGCTGCGCCCCAGGCCCTCGTCCTGGACGCCCTCTGTCTGCTCCTGGACATCCTCGCGCCCAAGCTGCGCCCCGTGAGTGCCGCCCACAGGAGAGGGCTGGGGCTCCGGGGACAGGCCCTGCCGTGCTCAGCCTCCCGCCTGCCACCCCCGCCCAGGTGAGCACACAGCTGTACGGCGCCCGCGAGAAGCAGCAGCTGGCCAGCCTGGTGGGCACCATGCTCGCCTACAGCCTCACCTACCGCCAGGAGCGCACGCCCGACGGGCAGTACGTCTACAGGCTGGAGCCGTGAGTCCCGCGCCTGGTGGGGCCTGGCCGGGGGCTGTGCGAGGGGGCCAGGCCCGCGCTGGGCCGGGAGTCTGGAAGTGTGTCCTTACTACGTGGGTGTCCAGGAGTGGTCGGGCCCAGTGTGGCCTTTGCTCAGGTGTGACTGTGAGGCGGGGCTCACTGCCAGGGCGCCAGGTTGGGCGCAGCCCTGGGACCTGTTTTGGTGCAGAGCCTCTCCCAGCCTTCACGCCCCCCAGGAGCAGCGCCCAGAGGCCCCAGGCTGGGTGGCCCCATGAGTGAGTGGCGCTGCCAGGGCTCTGTCTCCCACCCTGCGATGGTCGTGGGGGGCGGGGACACAGCGCAGCCCAGGAGCCATGGCCTGAGGTTCTGCTGCCCCACCTGTGGCAGGGTCCACCTGTCATCTTATTCTTGTCCTGCGTCCCTGGGCAGGTTCTGTCGCCATCCCCACTACAGTTGGGGAAACTGAGGCTTGAGACATTCAAGCCCTGGCTGCGGCAGCACCAAGACTCAGCCCCACATGACAGCTCTCCCGCTGTGGCGTATGGGGTTTGCGCACCAGGTGGGTCCCCGGCCCAGCCCTGCTGACCGGGCGCCCTGGCGTCCTGCCTCCCTTGCCCCGAGCAGGAACGTGGAGGACGTCTGCCGCTTCCCGGAGCTGCCTGCCCGCAAGCCCCTCACCTACCAGGCCAAGCAGCTCATCGCCCGGGAGATTGAGGTGGAGAAGATGCGGCGGGCAGAGGCCGTGTCCCGGGCTGGGAACGGTCCCCAGGTGAGCCTCCCTGGGCTCTGGGAACAGGGGGCCCGTGGGCAGGGTCTGGGAGTGGACGCTGTCCCCGCTCTGGCCTTGCCCAGCCGGCGCTCCCTGGGTCCTGCTCCCTGCAGGCGGACCGGAGCCCCGCGGGACCTGAGGGTCCTCCAGGAGGCAGTGGGGAGAGAGACGGGCGCCGGCCTGCTCTGCGCAACCACGAGCAGCGGCTGGAGCACATCATGAGAGCCGTCCGGGAGGAGCAGGTGCAGGGGCGGGGCTGGGGGAGCCCTGGAGGAGGGGGCCAGGGCTGCTCTGGGTGGGGCCGTTGGCCCAGAGGTGGGGCTGGCTCTGAGCCCTGAGGGCTGTCTGTCCTGAAGGGCTAGTTCTCTCCACCTAGCATGATGGTTTTCCACCTGGGCCTCAGTTTCCCATCTGGGCAGGAGAGCAGTCTTGATGGGGAACAGGTGTCTGTGAGGTGGTGGGGGACATGGGGATGCTGGCCTGGGCAGGGTCAGGAAAAGCTCCCAGCCGTGCTTGGGGCCCCTCCCCCCTGGGGATGGCCCCTGGGTCCTCCCGTCTGGCACCAGGGGCCACACGGGGTCCGCCCCACAAGCCTGATGGGCCCTTTCTCCTCGCCAGCCCGAGAGGGACTTCTTCGGACGTGTGGTCGTGAGGAGCGCGGCAGCCCTGAGGGCAGGTGTGTGCAGGGGGCTGGGGGGCCCTGGGGGGCTGGGGCTGGGCCAGGGAGCAACCATGTGTCCCCCGCAGAGGACGCGGGCCTGGAGAAGGACTCGGCGGAGTGGCGCATAGGCACGGCGGTGGGCAGGAGCGAGGTCTGGTTCCGCTTCAACGAGGGCGTCTCCAACGCCGTGCGGCGCACCCTGTACGTCAGGGACCTGCTGTAGCCCCGGCCCGGGGCCGACCCCTCGGGGCCCCTGGCATTGCTCTACCTCCACAGAGACGCACGAAACACAGAGCCCCAGAGAGTTTTATAAACGCGGCGCCTTTACAGACGTGGTCCCCAGTCTCCAGTCGGCGGGCGGGCGGGCTCACAGGATGGCGCACTTGCCCTTCTCCACCCAGGGGTTGTTCTTCATCAGGTCGGGGTTCAGGAAGGGGTCCTTGGGGATCCCGTCCTCGATCCACTTGAGGAGCCTGCGGGTGGTGGGCAGGGTGAGAGGTGGGTGGGGCGTGGCACCTGCCAGGCTGGGGCGTGGGCGCGGCTCATGCAAACGAGCATCCAGCCGGCAAATGACATGCAAATCCCGCGGGGTACTCACTCGGGGATGGTCTTGGAGGACATCTCCCTCTTGAAGGCCAGCTGGTACTTGAGGCTCTCCACCTCCTTCTTCATCTGGGGCACGTCCCACTCCTCCATGGCGTCGGGGGCTTCGGAAGTGGCCAGCCTGCCGCTGGAGGGCAGGGAAGAAGTGGCAGTGCCAGGGGCTGCCCCCAGGCGTCCCCTACCCACTGGCCTGAGTCCCCCGGACCAAGCGAGGGAGGAAATCCGACCACTGCCCAGGCAGGTCACCAGGGCCAGGGCCAGAGCACGGTCCCAAGAGGCCCTGCTAATGAGGCCCCACAGGCCCCCTCTACCCTGTGGGGCCAGTTAGCTGCCAGGAACTTTCCACCTTAGCGCTGTGCCCCTGTCCCCAGCGTCTCAGGTCCAGCTCTGGATTGGAGCGGGATGGGACCCCGCCCCGGGAGACAGCAGCACTGGGCACACAGTACAGGGGGCTCTGGGACCCCCCAGCCCTCCCACCCTGCACTCTGAGGCCCACTCCCAGCTCTTGGTCGCAGATGGTAACCAAACCAGGTGGGCTGGGACCTGCCTGGCCTCCCGTGGGCCTCTGCTTTGCATGGGCAAAGCCCACTCAGAGTCGGCCCTGGGGCCGGGGGATTTGGCCGAAATTTGCATCCCTGGTGGAGTCGGGGCTTGCGCTGAGGATGCCAGGGGGCCTGGGCTGTGGGTTGCCCCGATGCCCAGTGCCTTCCTGGGAGCTGCCCCAGCCTGAGTTTCCGCGCGTGAGCCAGCCTGGCAAAGCCACAGGTCGAGGCTTCTCAGAACACCTGCCAGTGGGAGCAAGTGGGAGCGGGTGCCCTGCAGCTCCCTCCCCAGCCCACTCCGGGGGCCCAGGAGTCCCTCGCTGTACCCCGGGGGAGGTTGGAAGACCGGACTGGATTCCTCAACCTTGAGGGGGGCGGGGGCCTGGGGGCTCCTGGTTGGAGAGTCTCCATATCCCCAGGGCTGTAGCTGTGCTGGGCGTGCCCAGTGCCTGGTGATGGTGGGAGCCTGGTCGGTGACACTGGCAGGACCAGGAGGGGTCCTGGGAGGGTCCCCCAGAAGCAGGGATGACAGCCCAGGGAATAGGGCTGGTCTCCGTGGGGGCCAGGCCAGGGACTCCCTCCTAGAGCCCCCAAGTTCCAGCGCCCCCATCTGCATGCATGTGGACAGCCACGCGGGTCCAGCTGCGGGCTGGGGGCGCTGGTTGCCCTGCCCACAGCCCTCGCCGCCGCGGCCTCTGGCCCTACCTGTGCGCAGCTGCCGCCACCGCCGCCGGAGCCCCGCCGCCTGCTCGCGCGCCCCGCGGACGCCCCCGGCCACGGCGCACGGCGCACTCGGCGGGCACTGCGGGCGGCGCGCACGGCGCACAGACGCGGCTACTCCGCCGCGCCGCCTGCCCGCCGCACTGGGGGCTCCTCTCGCTTTCCGGACACCACGGACAGGCGCCCTTGCTGCTGCGGGGGTTGGGTGAGCCCGCGGGACTGACCCGCACAAGTCCCAGGTCTCGGTTTCCTCCAGGCTGCGAGGGGCCTGACTTACCTTGGGAGGTGACAGTGAAGGGAAAGTAATGGCAAGAGCCAGGGGCCAGCGAGGTGACAGCCAGGGCCAAGTGATGTGCAGTGAGTTACTGGCAGGTGCCCGGCCCGCTCCTGCCGCCTGGAGCCCTGGCACCGCCCCTGCCCCCCTCCTTGGGGCTGGGCTGACCCCAGAGACCGGCCCTGCCTGGCGCAGGCTGCCAGCTGCTGCTGGTCTCGCCCAGTGGGTGGGACGTGGGGACAGTGTGGGGTTCGGGGGTTGGCTCTTGCACTGGGCAGAGGGGTGGTTCCCTCAACCGGGGTGGTGGGTTCCTGGCTGGCGTCACGATGCCTGTCCAGATGGCCTTCAGCTGGTCAAACTGTGCCCTGGCCCAGGAGTCCCCTCTGGTCAGAGCCATCCCCATTCTCCAGTGTCCCAGGACCCTTTGCTGGGGTCTGGGGTCTTTGCAGCCCACTTGGTGCAAGGCATCGAGGGCAGGCCAGATGGTGTGCCTCAGTGGGCCCAGATGTGAGCCTCTTCTTACCATGGAGCCTGGGCCTCCGCAGGATGGCTCCTGCTCTGGCCCTGTCCTCATTCCCTGCCCAGCACCGGGCAGGCTGCCCGGGGTGGGGGGAGGTGCTGCTGTTCCCCAGGCTGCCCTGAGCAGGGAATGGCTGAGGGGGTGGCCTGAGTGCCCCCCACATCGTGCCCACCCGTGGTGGCTGCAGAACACGCTGTCCAGGGAGCTGAGCGCCACGGGTTCACTCCTCAGCCCCCACCCTCCTCAGCCCTGCCTGAGGTCAAAAGCCCTGCAGTGGGGCCACTGTGGACACTTGCCCCGTGGTCCCCCAGGGCAGGAGCCACCCCATGTTCTTCAGATGTGTTTCCTGATGTCTCCTCCCGAACCCCCCCTCCCCCGGCACACCCCGTGGGCTGCTGGGGAAGCTGTGCCCTGGGGACCGTCGAGTGACGCACGCGGCAGGCTGCATCCCGGGCAGGGGCCCCCGGGCAGCAACGCCGGCCTCGCGGGGCGGCAGGGCCTGGCTCCCCAGATGCAGCCCCCCACAAAGGCGCCCCCGCCCCGCCTGGCCCTTCGCAGGTGCTCCTGGGACCTCGCATGGGCTGGGGCCTGCGAGCTGGTCACTCTGTCCCCCAGGTCACACGGGACCTCCCGGGACCCCCTGCCCAGCACGCCGGCGGCAGTGTCCAGGACCCTCACGTCACGCAACAGGCTGCGTCCCTGCTGCGGTTCAGTGAAACGGGGTCACCGCACCCCCCGGGGTCCGCACGCAGCTGGGTCAGGAGGCACTTCTGGAACTGGGGCACATTAGGGCAGGATTATTTTTATTATGGATTTAGGGGGGTTGGAGCAGCTTAGCGCCAAGAGCACCAGCCCCCCCTCAGGGCAGATGCCGCTCCCGGCGGGTGGGGGTGGACCCTTCTCCCCTGGGCCCCAGCTGCCCTGCCTGGGCCCCTCGTTTGCACCAGCATTCGGGCTGAGGGGCGGGTCTCCATTGCGCGGCTGCCTGGGGCTCTCCCATGGCTGGGGGGCAACCTGCAGGCCCCACTCTGCCCCGGGGGAGCGACGTTTTGCCCCAGATGCCCCCATACTCAGGTGGGAGGGGAGAAGACCCCAGGAAGACCCCCTCACTCACTGGGGCAGCAGTGTGGTTTGGACAGCTGGGGGTCTGCTGGCCCTCGGGACCCGCAGTGCCACCGTGGCCGGCCGGCTGCCTGGCCTGGAAGGGCAGATGTGTGCTCCCGACCGTGCTGCTGAGGCCCCGGATTCTGGTCGCTCGCAGTTCCTGGGGCCCGCAGAAGTCCATCCGTGGAGGGTGCTCAAGCTCTGTCCAGCATGGCCAGTGTCCCCAAGGAGGCAGGACACAGGGTGGGACTCGGGCTGTGGGGATCCAGTGTCTGCCCCAGTCCCCAGGAGAGCAGTGGACTGATGTGGTCCCGTGGGGGTTGGCGCAGGCGGCTGTGCAGGGGCAGTGGGGGTGGGGGACATGCCTGAGTCTGCCCAGGGCCACCTCTGTGGTGTTTCCAGCCTCTGGTCACGGGCGGACCTCAGGGCCCGCGTGCTGAGCAGGCAGCTGCAGTGACCTTTGCTCCTGCAGGAGGGGCCGTGGGACCCCCATGCTCGGTCAGACAGGACTTGAGGACCCCTAACTCCTCACTTGCCTACAGAGGCTAGATTTGAAAACCCCCAACATGCATTCAGGCCCAGGGGGACCTGTGTGGGTCACAGACATGGCCCTGCTGCAGCGATTCCCACCGGGAGGACTTTGGGGAAGGGACACCACCTATCCTCCTGCTGCCCGACTGACCGCCTTGCAGATGTTCTGTGGTGGGTCCCCGGTGACAGGCAGCTCCTTTCTGAATCAGGCCACTAATTGGGCCGCTGGGCGAGAACACATAGGGCTCCTTCCGCTGGCCTAGAAACGGCTGCCCCAGGCCCGAGCCCCTGACTGCAGGGCGTGGGCCTCAGAGCCAGCCAAGCTCACGGCCTGCAGGGCGGCACATGTGGCCCGGGTACCCTCATGCTGCCTTTAGGGCTCAGTCCAAACATGGCACAGGGGTGCCATGACCCCTTCTGCCCCTGCAGGGTCTCCGGAGGGCAAGGCAGGGCCGGGACAGGCATGTGGCTGTCTGAGTAGGTGAGGGAGACGGTGCCCAGGAAACCGAGGGACAGAGCACCGGGCTAGGCCCAGGCGGAGGAGCCCACTCTCCACCCAGCAGCCCCTGAGCTCTGCCTGAGGGAGTGCTCGGGCCACCCCAAGGGGCCAAAGCCGCCACCTCCCTACAGCCTTGAGGCTGTGACACCAGCCCGCTGGGTCTGAGGCCCTTTCCCTGAGGCCTGTGGACGGGCAGCCTGGGGCGGGGATAGCTGGCCCCTTCCATCCCTGCAAACAAGGCCGCAGAGGCCAGCAGGGGACTGGGGGAGACGTCAAGAAAACTCAGTTTTACCAAGGTGAGCAGCGGAAACTGGACGGCGTTTATGTAATCTTTGGAAGTTCCAGAATGATTTTCAAAAAAGTTTGCACTCTTAGGCTCAAAAGTAGGAAACAGAGCAGATCATGGAGAGGTACAGGGGAGCAGCCCTCATCCACGCTTCACTTCCGTGTGAAATGGCACCGTTGGTGCATCCGTGGCAAACTACTCTGGCTAACTGTGTTTATCCTGAACAGCCCGAGGTGGCGGGTCGTTACCATCACGCTCAGAAGAACCTTGGCCATCTTCTGAACGCTCAGCGTAACCGTGACACAGGCAGCAGGCGCCAGCGCCCAGAGCCCTGCCTCCGCCTGAGAACCGAGGCAAGCTTGTCCCCTGAGACGACGCCCCCGCCCGCCTGCTCCCCATGGACACAGAGACAGCTCGTTCCTGGGGGCCTCCGGAGGGGAGCCCCCGCAAACAGAGCCACCTGGGCCTGGCAGCAGGTGGAGCCTCACTCACTCCGCCCAGAGCACCATGGAAGGAAGGCGCAGACCTTCCACGCCAGCCACGGAGTTGCGCAGTGGAAGGTGGCTCGGCCTGTCCAAGGTCCATGGGGGCAGATGGGGGGATAGTGGGCCGCGCACTTCTCGCAGGGCGTCAGCTCCAGCGGCCTCCCCTCCATGCACACGGACTCGTACTCTGCGGGGACGGGGGTCCAGCGCTGCCAGAGGACTGCAGAGGGGGAGACGTGCTCCTCACTGTGCCAGGTGGGCCCATGGCTCCACCAGGACGCAGGCCTGTCCCCAGAACTCACCCACCATGAACCACGGGACGCGCCGTGCACCCAGGCTGGCCTTGCAGGCCCGGAGGGTCGCTCCTGGCCCATCAGCGCCCCTGGGTCTGCCTCATGGGGCGGCCGAGCGGCCACTCCCGGGGCAGGGCCTCACCCAGCCCCCAAGCTCCTCCGTCTGACTGGTGGGCGGCCTGAGGAGCCACTAGATGCCAGAGCTGCCCCTGGGCCAACCAGGAGGCACTGTGCAGACGAGGCCACTCCCTGGGGCCACGCCACCCCCACATGGGAGGGGGACCCGCACGGCCAAGGGCCAGTGTCCCCTGCCCACTCCCAGCCGGGGTGACCATGACCTCCAGGTGGCAGCTCACTAAGCGGCCAGGTTTCCCGCCACCACAGGGGACAGAAAGGTGCCAACTGCCACTGTTCCTGGTGGCTGATGCTCACAGGGCTCAAGGGGGCCCACGCCATCCACCCAACCAAGGGGCAGGGCCCAGCACCCCACATGACCCTCACAACGGACACACGAACCCCCAAAAGGGGGCCAGTGGGCCAGAGGCAGGATCAGGCTGCTGTGCGTCTGTTGTCCTCGGGCTGGGGCATAGCCCCGGAGTCTGAGCTGGGTCTGGGGCGTGGCCGGCAGGAGCCGGGGAGCCCTGCAGAGGCCTGTGCTCCTGGTCTCCCACCGCTCGTCTGGTCATCAGCCCTGCAGCAGCACCAGGTCCCCGCAGTGGTGACGGAGGAGAATCCATGTGTGTGGAGATGGGAGACGTCCCGAGACAGCCGGTGAGTGTGGGTGTGAGAGTGTGGCCGGGGTGTGGGGAGGGCAGGCTGGGCCACCCGACACAGCCTGACCCTAGACCAGGAGCACCACCAGGCCCAGGGTTCCAGGCGCTGGGCATGGGTGGCCCTCACCACGCACTGCTGCAGTGGCTTGGTGCCCACCGGTCTCTGGAGGAGCCAGTGGGACAGGCCGCTTCCCGCGGATGTTGCTGCGTCCGTGCCTTTCCTAGTAGCCCAGCCACCGCGATGCAGCAGCCCAGGGTCCGGGGGCCTCGGTGTCTGGCAGCAGCGCCAGCCAGGGCTGGGGCAGGGCCACCGCCAACGCGGTGGACAGGCTCTGCTGTGGGAAGGCCCCGATCCCCGCCCCAGGCACCCGGCCTCGGAGGGGTGCACGACACTCAGGGAGCCCTGAGGAGGGCACTCTGTCCCCACAAATGCACCGTTTGATGGTTGACATGACCTGCGAGACACAGGACGCAGGTGATGCAGCCGTCACCCGCGTGCCACCATGGCCATGTCTCCGGAGGAGGGACGCAGGTCAGAGAGGCCAGCCCCTTCCTCACCCAGCAGGTGTCAGTGGGTTCCTGGCACCCATACACGAGGCAGGAGAGAGTGACTGTCACATGCGTGAGGAAGAACCCGGCAGGGGCAGAGCTCAGGGCTCAACTCAGCCCAGCTGACCGGCCGCCCTCTGCTCCCGCGGCTGGAAGCCAGGCCGGCACCCGGCACCAGCTCAGGGCCGTGAGCAGGAGCCCCAGAGACCAAAGGAGCCGGGTGACGACCATGGAGCCTGACCACCACTAAGGGACACCCCTGACCACCACCCAGGGACGCACTGCCTTGGGGCTGGGGCCCAAACCTCCAGATGCTGGCCAGAGACAGGCCCTGGGGCTTCTTCCAGTGTCCGATTTTGCTGTGGGCACTGCAGTGACACAGGGACAGCTGAGTCCAGCACTTGATCTGGGCGTGGGGACACCCAGCCTTCCTGTCGTGGCGGGGGCCGCACACACTCACTGTCCTCGCTCAGCAGATATACCTGAACTCTGTGCTCCTCTTTGGGGAAATTTAGCCTCAGCATAACCAGTTCCTTGGGAGGGGCACAGGGTCTGCAGTCGGCTCCTCTGGTGACGGGTGTGTGGCCCTGGAGCAAAAGCCCACTAGCAACGGGCAGGGCGTTCACTGTGACTGGAGCCACACTCAGCCCGTCCCAGGCACAGCGGCAGTGCTGGTGACACCCTCTGGGCTCTGGCCAGTGGAAGCACCGCCTCACTCTCGTCTGCCCGAAACACGAAAGGGCGGGAAAAACTAGGAGACCCAGGCCGATTGTTACAGATTTTCCCTTGAGGCAGGAGTTTTGAAAATCCTCTACTAGACCCAAGACAGGACTGGGGCTGACCCACGTCGCAAAGAACGCCAAGGCCAAGTGAAGGTTTCTGGCATCCACTGTGATGGCACTTCACATAACTGTGGTTATGGTAAAAGCATTTGTAAACGACAAAAGTCCGAAAAAACATACCCACGACGGAAACTGTCACAGGAAATAGAGAAGGTTTAATGTATATACCCCTGAGCTGCAAGTCAAGAGGTGGCGCTGTGAGGGCCTTCCAGCAGGTTCCAGGCCAGCCGAGGCCCCTCATGGGGGCCCAGGCAGGCAGCGGGGGCCACAGCCACTGTGTGGGGGTGTAGCTTCCTCCAGGAAGGCCCCTGCAAACTCATGTGAGTGGCATGGCAGTGTCGGGGCTGAGGCACTGTTCTTCCCTTCTGTATGAGGTCACGACCAGCCCAGAGTCCTCGTCAGGGACTGCTTCATATTTCCCCCCCTCTATGCCCAGACTGGCTGGCAATGAGAAAAGGATTCTTCTCCCTCTGGGGCTACCCTACCGCCGATGACACACAGGTGACATCCTCCGCCCTCCAGACACCTTTGACAGTCGCCTCTCTGGCATTGGCTGTTGGAGGTCTCCAAGTTCACTCTGAAGTGCTGCGTGTCACATGGCGCCAGGGGAGCCACCCTTGGCTCTCCCCCTCGGATAATCCTTCCTCTAGGCCGGTGTTTCCCACCCCCGCAGCACTCAGACCACCCACTTCTCTCTGGCCCCAGTTCCACCATCCTGAGAGCTACTAGGACCTCCGGCAGGTCTCCCAGATCCAATGGCCAGAGTTATCTTTTCAAAATATCATCGTTCCCCCAGTTTAAACCCTCAAAAGGCTTCTCGATGTGCCCAGGATGAAGTCCACACTCTGTCCCATGACCCCTGCCCTCGCTTGCCATGCCAGCTCCCTGCTCCCTCTGCCACAGGCCTTTGCAACCCCTGTCCCCTCTCCTCACGATTCTCCCGCCTTTTATTTATTTTTCCGAGACAGACTCTATTGCTGGGGCTTGAGTGCCTTGGCGTCAGCCTAGCTCACAGCAACCTCAAACTCCTGGGCTCAAGGAATCCTTCTGCCTCAGCCTCCTGAGTAGCTGGGACTACAGGCATGCGCCACCATGCCCGGCTAATTTTTTCTATATATTTTTAGTTGGCCACATAATTTCTTTCTATTTATAGTAGAGACGGGGTCTCCCTCTTGCTCAGCCGGGTTTCGAACTCCTGACCTTAAGCGATCCTCCCGCCTTGGCCTCCCAGAGTGCTAGGATTACAGGCGTGAGACACGGCCTCCGGCCTTTTACTTTTAATAGGTCTGGGGTCCGAGCTGAGCCCCCTCACGTGTGTGTAGTTTGCAGCGGTGGAATCTGGTGTCCCAGATGGAGTCTGTTGTACTCTTGGCAATTTCTCATCCCTAACCCCACGGAGGCGCCCATTTCCAGTCCCCAGTGCCTTTGGCCAGAGCTTGGCTCCCGCCCCTCTTTTCCCCAGGGATCAGGGCCACCCTCTCCGCGGGGGACCCTCCCGGCCTCTCCCGATTAGGCCGAACCCCCGGGCGGGGCCTCAGGTGCCCCTGAGCTTCTGCCGGCAGGTGTGCGGGCGCACGCGGGCTCCGGCCGGCGCCTTCACTTCCCCCTGCGCCTGGCGTCTTTGGAGACACGGACGGCTAAGGCGCTGCACAGGGCTCTGCCCCTCACGCTGACCCGCCTCACAGGTAGGGAAACTGAGGCTGGGAAGGGGAAGGGTTGGCCCCAGGCTACGTGCGGGGCCGTCGGGACGTCCTTCAGACCACCGAGGCTCCAGGCTGGCCCGCTCGGCCAGTGCCTCGCCACCATGCCCTCAACTTTTCCATCTCCTGAGGCTCCTCGCCTGCCTACTTCCGCCTTGGGAAACCACTTCCGGGTCAAAGTTGGAGGGGACGGGGTGGGCAGAAGGGCCTCCTGAGCGGCGCCGCCATCTTGGAGTCGGGCAGCGGCGGCGCAAGTTGCGGCCGTGTCCCGGGCGGCCATGTTGGAACCGGGCACAGAGGGCTAAATGAGCCGCTGTGGACCTGGCGGTAATCAGTCGCGGTCACGGACACGGCGCCGTGCGCAGTAGCCACGCGCCGCTCTCAGTTGTCTGCAGCGTCAGGACTGTGAAATGTCCCGATGACGGAAAGCCGCAGGCCCTGCGGAGTCAGATGGCGGGGAGGAGGCCCCGACCCCTTTCGGTCGGTTTGTCATCCGCACCTGCCCGTCACCTGCCCGTCCGTCCCGGACCCCCGTGGTCCCCGCACCCGTGAGGTCTCGGGGGCGGGCGCCGGTGTGGAGACGGGTCCGCGGACGGACGGGGATTCCCTGGGAACCCGCTGAGCGGCCGCGGGGACCGGCAGGCGGCGGGCTTGGCCGGGTCGAGGCTCGGGACGGGGCGGAGCGGTGACGCGAGCAGGCGGGGCCCGGGGGTCCCCCGCTTGTCCCCGCTTGTTCGGGCCAGGGACCCGCGGGGATGTGGGCAGCCTGGGGGCGTGTCCCGCCCTGGCCACCCTGGGACTCCTCCTCCCCATCAACGGATCCAGAGAATTGTCACGAGACACAATGACGACAAATTTAAAGATTTTTTTTTTTTTTGAGACACAGTCTTGCTTTGTTGCCCAGGCTAGAGTGAGTGCCGTGGCGTCAGCCAGCTACACAGCAACCTCAAACTCCTGGGCTCAAGCAATCCTTCTGCCTCAGCCTCTCGAGTAGCTGGGATTACAGGCATGCACCACCATGCCCGGCTAATTTTTTCTATATATATTAGTTGGCCAATTAATTTCTTTCTATTTACAGTAGAGACGGGGTATCGCTCTTGCTCAGGCTGGTTTGGAACTCCTGACCTCGAGCAATCCGCCCGCCTTGGCCTCCCAGAGTGCTAGGATTACAGGTGTGAGCCACTGCGCCCGGCCAATTTAAAGATCTTGATGGGTTTTATTTGTGATTCTAGCATCAGGCAAGACTTTATGGACAGAGAAGGGCTGGCGAAAGCAGACGCGGAGACGGGTCATCCCAGAGTTGCTGTCCTGGCGCAGGTCAGAGCAGGGACGTCCCGACCTAGCACTGGCTGCCTGGGGTTGGCTGTTTGTTGGCTCATTAGGTCAGACAAGCAACTTAGTTTTGCTTTGGTGACATGGAACTTCAGCACGATCGAGTCCGGTCTGGCCTGTGGGGCCTAGAGCAGGTGCTGGGGCCACACTAGTGGCCTCTGATAGGTTTTATTTAATAGGATGCAGGGAGGGGGGGAGACTCCGTGGATGTGCAGAGAGGGGCTGCGGGGGTCGTGTGGGCAGGAAGGGGGGGCTCCTCGTGTGCCCTGAGAAAGGCCAGGAGATGCAGGGAGATTTCCCCGTTAGTTTTGTCCATGGAGCGTGTCTGTGGGATGCCCAATTCCAGACCCCTTGGGTCCCTGGACCTTTAGGGTTAGCAGAGGCTTTGACGGGTGTCCAGTGCCAAGGAGGGGTGTGGGGCAGGTTAGGGGATTGACCCACCCCATACTGCCTCTTTTCAGAGCAGTGGATTCTTTTCTCTTCTCCTAAAAGACTATTCTAGAAACCTAGTGGCAGAGTCCCCGCAGCAGCTGAGTCTTTCAGAGCGACGCTTCGGAAGGTCTGTCTGAGCACAGGAGCGCTTACAGGTGAGGGTCGGCAGAGCTTATCGTTCAGCAGGACTCAGTCAAAGTTCAGACACGTCATGATGGGCACCTGTGGCTCCAACACTGACGTGGGGTCGTGTGACTACAGATTTTTTTCTTTTGAGACAGGGTCTCACTCTGTCACCCAGGCTGGCAGGAGTGCAGTGGTGCGATCACAGCTGACTGCAGCCTTGAACTCCTGGGCTCAAGCGATCCTCCTGCCTCAGCCTCCTGAGTAGCTGGGACTACAGGTGCCGCCACCACGCCTGGCTAATTTTTTTTTCCTTATTTTTTGTAGAGATGGGGTCTTGATATGTTGTCCAGGTTGGCCTTGAACTCCTGGGCTCAAGTGATCCTCCCTGGGCCTCCCAGAGTGCTGGCACTACAGGTGTGAGCCCCCCCCCCCCCCGGCCATGACCACAGAGTTGCAGTTAAGGACTCTGCTGTGAGAAACGTCCATGTCTTCCCCAGGGGAGTGGCAGCCTCTGTGTTGGGCACCTGCGCGGGTGTCCCCTGCGTCCATTAAGCCTGAACCTGGGGAGGGTTGGAAGGGGCAGGGCTGACCCGACCCGGAGTACGAGGACATGGCGCCTGGCCAGCAGCCCCTTCCACAGTGGGCTCAGGAGAACAACTGGCAGCCCGGCTGCGTGGGGCCCACGAGTGAAGGAACAGCTGAGCAGGATGCCTCGTTGGGCAACTGGGCTGCTGCGTGTCTGTGGGGGAGGACACGGAAGCCCCTGATGGCACCATAGGGGATCCAGGGGTGCGGGATGGGAGCCAGGGGCTGCCTAGGAGACACTCTGGGTGCAGCCTGGACCCAGGGAGCCCCCAGGCCCCGCCCAGCTGAGAGCCGCGAATCCCTCCCTTGCACCCTGCGGGGGCACCAGGCCTTCCCGTCACTGTCCTGGCCATGCTGGAGACCCGTGGCTCTCAGGGAGGCGCACCCCAGGGGACACCAGCCAATGTCTGGAGACCTTTTGGGTGTCACAGCAGGGCTGCCACAGGCGTCTGGTCAATGGGGTGCAGGGGTGCTGCTGGCAGCACGTGGGGGACGGCCCCCCACAGCACAGCCAGCCCCAGATGCCAGCAGTGCCTGGGGACGTCCCTGCCGCACTCGGTGGACCTGGTCCCGGCCGGTGTCAGGCATGCGCCATCCCGCCTAGGGTCTCCGGCCCATCTGTGCTGGGCAGCCCACTCCCGGTCCCTGCCATCCCCACCATCACCACTGGGGGGAGCCACAGGCCCATGTGATCGCCTCTCCTTTTCCGGAAGGATCCTCCAACTCGGGGCCGGACAGTTGCGGGCGCCCAGCTCCCAGACTCTGGGCCCAGCGCCCCTCGCTCCTAGGACGCAGGAACCTGGTTTTCGTGAGTGGCGCCTAGCGTCACTATCAGACCTGCAGAGGGAGGAATTTCAAAATGTTACTTTTTCACTTAAAAAGATAACAATACATCCAAGGCACACAAACGTCAGGTCTTGATGAAAATCGGCTCCATCTCCCTGTGAAATGCTTAGTGGCAGGAGGGGCCCTCGCTCCACCTGCACACACCTGTCTGCACTCCCCTCTATGGCCCTGGGGCCGGGAAGCAAACTGGCTCTTAGCGGCACCACGAAAACAGTCGTGGCTTCGCGGCCCCGGGAAGGTGTCTGGGACCCGCTGGGAGAGCAGCAGCGGATGCTGCAGTCGCGGCATGCCGGTTTGCTGCTCCTTCCTGTTCTGGTTGAAGACGGGAAGATGGGACAGAAGCTGTTTACGCTGTCACGGTCACTACGTTCAGGTCGCCCAGTCCAGATCCTGCCGGAGCCCTGATCCCCGGACACTGATCCCCGAAGGCAGGTGGGGGCGGCGGCTGAGCGGGAGCCCCCGTCCCGGTTCCGAGTGTCGCCTGTCGTTCCCCGGGGCCAGGGCCGGACCGCCTGGAGGGCCGAGGTCCCTGGGGGTCTGCAGGACACGTGTTATGGAGACTGTTGCTCCTGTCACCTGCCCTTTGGGAGACGCTGTGGGTTCGCGGTGCCGAGCAGACAGCTCAGCATCCCCTCCGCCCGCTCAGCTCCTCCGACCGTTGGCCCCGTCCCCGCAGCCCGAGCCGCGACGCCAGTGTCAGCTGAAGTCGCCACTTTACCAGGGCTTGTTTGGTTGTGCCCACGGCCTTTCCCACAAGGTCCCCTCTGGGCTGTGACAGTTGCCCAGACTCTTCTTGGTTGTGACTATCACAGCGGTTTTGAGGGGGGCTGGGCGGGGATTTCGTGGAAGTTTCTCAATTGGGGTTTGTCCAGCTCTTCGCAGGGTTAGACAGCCCTGCGCCTC